CAGATTCTCCTAGTACAGTGATTTCTCGTTAATATGGACACCATCGTTGCCCTCCAAGAAATGGTCCATTATGTGAGTTGTCCAAAATACTAAGCAAAAAAAATGCACGCATTTTTCTGGTTTGTCCTCAATAATGGAGCCCATACAGCGGGGTATCCTTATTACCGGGCTCCATATTAGCGAGACTTGACTGTATACGATAAACGGGCCGGCTCGAACCACCACTCTTCTTTTGTTCCAGTTTTGAGACTGCCGCTTCGTCGCTTTCATCTGCCGGGTACCTCCTGGCAAACCATCGAGGCATCCAGGAGAAGGAGAGGCAGGAAGTGGGTTTCCTCCTGGAAAGAGATGTAAGTCTTTAACTATATTGCTATACCATAGCTTTAAGCTCTCTACGTGTAAAGAACATTCTTAAAATAAATTATACAAGCTTGATCATGTTGACAAAAACTGGTAAGCATAGAATACGTGATAGGCCTTTCGGAGAGGAGAAGGGCATCTGAAGGGCAGCCCCTAATAAAGATTCGTTCTGATTTCTGATACAAGCCGTGAGATGGCGCAGCCTCACAGAAAAGATTACGAGGCGCCAGAACACGCGCAAGCGCGCCAGGGATCAACTTCGCCCTAGCATGCTCCGATCCCCGTCACTGGATAGCTCAGTCGGCGAAGCACTTGGCTCACACTCGTAAGGTGGTGAGGTCAAATCGTGCCAGGGACTGTAGTGTTTTTATATGGTCCCCTGTGGGCATAAGGGGGTATGCAAACTGGCGCTGTGGCCCCGGCGAGCCGGAGAAAGTTCACGGCAAAGCCGGAGGGAATTCACTCCTTGCCACAACACCTTCCAGCAAGCTACGGCGGCCCTCCCGGTGGCGTGTTCCATGACGAAACCCCTAGATGCTACCAATCACGTTCACGATCGGGGTGTAGAGGAGGTCAAGTCTAGGCTTGCGTGGAGTGGGGCGTCGCGGCATCGCCTGACTCCCGGATGGAGTGGAGTGGCACTGATCACGTGGACAGAGACATCTCCATTGGAGAGGGCGCCACTTTCGAACTTCCGGTTTATCACTCTAAGCCCTTCTACCTTGTTACAAAACACGGCATAAGTTCTGCAGCGCGTGCCGTAGGCCGTGCATTTCGAAGGCATGACCTGCCGTTCTCATTCTATCAATAACTACAGTTTTTTTGTTTGTTTTTTTGTGGTGGCATTAGATGTTAGGTGAGTCCGTGTCATGTGACCGAAATTTTGTTTTTGCCTTTTGTTTACTATAAAGTCCGAGGGGACAAGTAAGCCGCCTCACTCAAAAAGTAGGTTTCGAATGTTTCGTGAGATTGTCTAAACGAAATTGAAGCAATGTATTGTCGATGTTAGCTCACAAACGCGGGCAGGCTACCTTCCGCGGACTAAGATGTTCGTGCACTATCCTTGGCAATCCTCACGCTCAGGCCCTTTCGTGTAAGCTTTGCAGGGACTGTGCCTGGATATCACACCTATGTTTATTCGTTTATTTTGACTTTTAGACAATACAGAGGTTGCCATGGAGCTGGGGCAAAAAGGCGACTATAAAGGAAGTGTCAGGAAACAAGCTTTCCCCGGAATTTCCTTTCTGCACTATATTTACGCCGCGAGACACATTTGCAGTCAGGAGTTCGAAAGAAGCTTATATTATGATATGTCGATTCTAAAACATGTCTCATAAAACTCAGGCATGGTTCAGAATCGCTCTTTACTTAAAACGGGTATCGCAACGTAAATATTGCTTTTCTTTGGGTGACACGCGTCTCCTACCCAAACACTTAAAAATATTATTGGGATTTCAATGGTTAAAAATGTTATGGGAAGCTCCAACTTCCACAATTAGCGCGTCTTCAAAGCCATTATTCTTAATTGCTCTTCAAATACCATAGCAAAAACACCACAAATTACACAATCACAATTTCAAAGAATGTAAAAACTTTTTTGTGTGATCCCAGCACGTAAAGGTAAATACAGCTGCGCGTTAGATAGTGCCACTCGCTAAAAGACTGCGATAGCTGCTTCATTGTCTTTGTGCCCCCCTCCTTAACGTGCCAGAAAGTTGCGCGAAGTGAGCCGTCACATTTGCTTTTGAGAGCTGCCACCTATGAACATTCAACTTCTCACGCAGTTGTAGGTCTCGTCATCAAGAGCAGTGGTTCTCAAATGAAATCCCGCGGAACCCACTGGGTGCCGCGAAGCCCCTCGCCTTAACTCTAACCTCTCCCTCCCGACCCCCCACCCTTTTTTCTAGAAAAAAACAATTGCCTTCTTTGTTGACCTTGTCTAGGTGGGCACAAGCAACCGCCCGGTATGAAGGGTACAGCTTAACCATCTACCAATTTATTCATCCGTTTAGTTGATGCTTCTCGCGTTTCCTGTGTATAACAGTAAAGGATGCACTCTTCGCATTGCAATTAGTTGCCTTATTTTATACCCTCCCCCCCCTCCCCCCCCTTTCCGTTCCACTGCTGGGCAATGGGGTCTCCCATCACATTGGCAGGACCCAAAGGGGGCCTCCGAAACATTCATGCTTTAGCACCACTGATCTAGAATGTTGTTTCTTAGAGGACTTGTGCTGGGTTTTAGCCCTGTGAGATACGTTGCAGGACATGGAAGCCACTCGAAAAAAAGCGTAAATGGTTAGCTAGTAAGTTAAATCTTAAAAAAAACATCCCTAACGTTTCTTTTGTCTTTCTGCTTTTAAATTTTTTCCGTATAATTTATGCTCGATTTTCTTATACCATAGGCGTGACATGGAAGTTTAGATAATAAATTGGCAGTGGGCGCTACGGGAAGTGAATTGTTATTCTTGTACGTGGCGTCAAACCGAAACTAACCCGGCAAAGCACGCCTCGACGTTAATCCCTTCTTTTCGCATTTGCGTCACACTTTTTACAATACCTGCGCCCAGGGGATGTCGGTTGCACAGCCGGCGCGAAGCAGAAGAATCGACGTCAACGGCGCCCTTCAACGGGTTAGTTTCGGTGGGAAGTCGTGCGCAAGGCTAACATTTCTTGTCGCGGAGGGCACAATACGCATTTTTTTAAGTTAATTAATGTTTCACCTCACGGCTAATCTTTAAGGAGGCCGAGCGTCAATTCTCTAACTACATTAAGCGCCATATATCATACAAAGAAATATTTCAAAAAAGCAATATTGAATTAGCTAACAGATTAGCTAACGTTGGATCTTTTTGAGGCCTCCGTGACTTCCAACTTAGCCCTAAGGCTAAAGGACCACAAACGCAAGTTCTTGAGTGTTTTTGTTTTTTTTTTCCTGCAGCTATAAATATTTTTGTATACAGTGAAATACTCGCTTTTCCAGATGCGGTACTGTTTCTAAACTCGCCGGTAGACACTGGACAATATGCTACTTTTGCAAATATGTTGTGAACACGTAGCTTGAGGCAATCTCAACCTGACAACTTAATTGCCATCGTGTGTGTTTCAAGTGAGTCCTGGAATTCTAAAATGTAAATATGTTTTTTTTCATTTGATCGCCCTTGCAGGGAGATACCACCTACGACAACATCTTCAGTCTGCGGCACTTAAAACAAGTCATCGCAGAATCATTAAAAAGATGCCTTCCACAGCCAGGGTACTGTATATTTTTTTTTAGCAATTCAAGCTTTGATTTTTTGCCTGAATTTTATTTTATATGGTTTTATTGTCCATTTTCGGCATAATAATCATGAATCAATCTGCGGTATATTCGGTGCCAAGAAATGACTCTTCGGTGCTTGGTTTTAGAAAATCCAAATAAAACACTTCACATCCCAAACCTAATAATGATAAAACAAAGTTAAGGATAAACATACCTTAAAATACACGTTCACTATGACTCCAATTTTATTAAGAAAACGATCATTTGAAGAAACATATTTGTGAAATATTCAAGACGTGTAAGCAAATAGACACGCTATCCAGAAAAAAATGCCAACTTCGACGACGAACCATTGGAGCACACGTACTCGTCGGGAGTCGTAGAGCGCCAAGATGGATTTGACCAAGGATTCCCCATATTCTTTAATGATATAAAGGTTACGGCAACTACAATGGCATGTACAGCCCATGCGAGACATTTTGTTTTGTCTAATCCGCGTACGGTGAATATGAAAATGTACAGGGCAAACAGTTCGCCGCGTGCGGGTCTGTAAAAGAAATCCACTCCAGCAAGTCAGGGCAGTCAATAATTACGGGAATAGCTTTAAAATTTGATCACATATGATTTCTCGCGCCGATGATGTAAGTTGCATTCAAAAACATGATTTCTTGAACTATATCTGCGCAAACAACCTGCATTATCACGAAGCTTGCTATGTCTATGTACTGACAAGAATTTATTTGACACCCAATACAGCTTTAAAGAATTGTTGGTAGTGACACCCTTCAGACCATAGATGCGTATAAGTTGGGATAGAGTGTTTGCGAAATATAGAACAAGCAAGTTGCTGGGGTTCGCAAATCCTCTAGGCGTTCTTCAGGCAATACCCACGGTACGTAGGGCTGACAAAACAATTCGACCATCATCTGTGTCAAAACGGAAAGAGGAATCGAAAAACACACTTAGATCCCAAAGCTCGCCAACGCGACAGTGGACTTAAAAAAACAATTTTGTAGGGAAAGTAAACGCTGTAATTCTTTCGCGAGGAGTCTTTTTTTTAGATTTCTTCATGAGTAGAATATTCCTTAGAAACCAATCATTTAACGCCCACACTTCCTTATCGTGCATTTCATAATCCTCAGCACTGCGAATGTTCCGAATTATATTAAAGTAAAATTAATAACAAAAATAACATTAATAATAAGAATGAATATTATTCATTTAATATTTATTAATATGTCCAAGAACAACCTATTCGTCCTCGTACTTTCACCGTACTTTTCAGCTATATGCGTATCCGCCAAGCACTTACTGGTTGAAGCGTGTGCAACAGTGCGTGGAAACAGTGATGCCGATATGCAGCGTCACTTGAATATCACAAATGATTTTGCTATGCAGACTCGCCACCAGCGTTTCTGACAAGGACACCGAATTAAATGGCTTTTGCTACTTAAAAGATACGAACATTCAACTTCCCCTTCAACCGATGCACCATGACCCAAGGTACTCGATCGATCCCGAGGATCTCAAGCCGATGCACCGTGATCCAAGGTACTGGGCCGACCCCGAGGAGCCCAAGCCGACGTATCGTGATCCAAGATACTGGGCTGGTTCTCAGGAGGACGAGCCAATTCATCATGATCCAAGGTATTGGGGCGACAATGATAAGATGAAACCAATGCACCGTGTTCCAAGGTACTGGGCCGACCCCAAGGGGGCCAAGCCGATGCATCATGATCCAAGATATTGGGCTGATTCCGAGGAGGGCAAGCCGAAGCATCATGATCCAAGGTACTGGGCCAACACCGAGGAAGTCAAGCCGATGCACCATGATCCAAGGTACTGGGTCGACTCCGAAGAAATCAAGCCGACGCACCATGATCCAAGGTACTGGTCCGATGACGAGGTGATCAAACCGATGCACCATGATCCAAGATACTGGCCTGACTGCGAGAAAATCAAACCAGTACACCATGATCCAAGATACTGGTCCGACGGCGAGAAGATCAAACCGATGCTCCATGATCCACGATATTGGTCTGAGCCCGAGGAAATCAAACCAATGCACCATGATCCTAGGTACTGGTCTGACCCCAATGAGATGAAGCCAATGCACCATGATCCTAGATACTGGTCTGACCCCAATGAAATGAAGCCAATGCACCACGATCCAAGGTACTGGTCCGACCCCAAAGAAATCAAGCCAACACGCCATGATCCAAGGTACTGGTTCGACCCTGAAGAAATCAAGCCAACGCACCATGATCCAAGGTACTGGTCCGACTCTAAGGAGGCGAGGCCAACGCACCTTGACCCGAGGTACTGGTCTGATGGCGAGGAGATCAAACCGATGCACCATGATCCAAGATATTGGTCTTACCCCAAAGAAATCAAACCAATGCACCATGATCCAAGATACTGGTCTGAGCCCGAGGAAATCAAACCAATACACCATGATCCTAGGTACTGGTCTGACCCCAATAAGATGAAGCCGGCGCACCATGATCCTAGGTACTGGTCTGACCCCAATGAGATGAAGCCAGTGCACCATGATCCAAGGTACTGGTCCGATTCCAATGAGATAAAACCAATACACCATGATCCAAGGTACTGGTCCGACGGCAAGTTCAAACCGATGCACCATGATCCAAGATACTGGTCTGACCCCAAGGAAATCAAACCAACGCACCATGATCCAAGATACTGGTCTGAGCCCGAGGAAATCAAACCAATACAACATGATCCTAGGTACTGGTCTGACCCCAATAAGATGAAACCGATGCACCATGATCCTAGGTACTGGTCTGACCCCAATGAGATGAAGCCAATGCACCACGATCCAAGGTACTGGTCCGACCCCAATGAGAGGAAGCCAATGCACCATGATCCAAGGTACTGGTCCGACGGCAAGATCAAACCGATGCACCATGATCCTAGGTACTGGTCTGACCCCAATAAGATGAAACCGATGCACCATGATCCTAGGTACTGGTCTGACCCCAATGAGATGAAGCCAATGCACCATGATCCTAGGTACTGGTCTGACCCCAATGAGATGAAGCCAATGCATCATGATCCAAGGTACTGGTCCGACCCCAATGAGATGAAGCCAATGCACCATGATCCTAGGTACTGGTCTGACCCCAATGAGATGAAGCCAATGCATCATGATCCTAGGTACTGGTCTGACCCCAATGAGATGAAGCCAATGCACCATGATCCAAGGTACTGGTCCGACGGCAAGTTCAAACCGATGCACCATGATCCAAGATACTGGTCTGACTCCAAGGAAATCAAACCAACGCACCATGATCCAAGATACTGGTCTGAGCCCGAGGAAATCAAACCAATACACCATGATCCTAGGTACTGGTCTGACCCCAATAAGATGAAACCGATGCACCATGATCCTAGGTACTGGTCTGACCCCAATGAGATGAAGCCAATGCACCACGATCCAAGGTACTGGTCCGACCTTAATGAGAGGAAGCCAATGCACCATGATCCAAGGTACTGGTCCGACGGCAAGATCAAACCGATGCACCATGATCCAAGATACTGGTCTGACCCCAAGGAAATCAAACCAACGCACCATGATCCAAGATACTGGTCTGAGCCCGAGGAAATCAAACCAATACACCATGACCCTAGGTACTGGTCTGACCTCAATAAGATGAAACCGATGCACCATGATCCCAGGTACTGGTCTGACCCTAATGAGATGAAGCCAATGCACCACGATCCAAGGTACTGGTCCGACCCCAGTGAGAGGAAGCCAATTAACCATGATCCAAGGTACTGGTCCGACGGCGAGATCAAACCGATGCACCATGATCCAAGATATTGGTCTGACCCCAAGGAAATCAAACCAACGCACCATGATCCAAGATACTGGTCTGAGCCCGAGGAAATCAAACCAATACACCATGATCCTAGGTACTGGTCTGACCTCAATAAGACGAAACCGATGCACCATGATCCCAGGTACTGGTCTGACCCTAATGAGATGAAGCCAATGCACCACGATCCAAGGTACTGGTCCGACCCCAATGAGAGGAAGCCAATTAACCATGATCCAAGGTACTGGTCCGACGGCGAGATCAAACCGATGCACCATGATCCAAGATACTGGTCTGACCCCAAGGAAATCAAACCAACGCACCATGATCCAAGATACTGGTCTGAGCTGGAGGAAATAAAACCAATACACCGTGATCCTAGGTACTGGTCTGACCCCAATGAGATGAAGCCGATGCACCATGATCCTAGGTACTGGTCTGACCCCAATGAGATGAAGCCAATGCATCATGATCCAAGGTACTGGTCCGACCCCAATGAGATGAAGCCAATGCACCATGATCCAAGGTACTGGTCCGACGGCGAGATCAAACCAATGCACCATGATCCAAGGTACTGGTCCGACCCTGAGAGAATAAAGCCAACGCTCCATGATCCAAGGTACTGGTCCGACCCCGAGGAGATAAAACCAAAACTCTATGATCCAAGGTACTGGGCCGGCCCCGAGGATATTAAAACGACGCACCATGATCTAGGGTAAGCAGGCATTTATATTTTATTAAAGAATAGCCTACGTGAAAATGCATTGCCATATTGGTACTTTTGAGTTCTGTTTGTGGGCAAGTTTTTGAGAGAGCAATGAAGCCTAGTGCAGACAGCGCTATGGATATCGAGTACGTCAGAATAATGATTTTAACGCTCAGTCGATCTTCGGACTGAGCTTAACTGGCATAATATGAAGGTGTATAAAAGGAGACTGGAGCAGTGTAGGCACGGGTTGAATCCTAAGGCTCAATCTAAGGCTTAACCAAGCCGTGCGGGGTTTTAAACAAAAATCAAGAAATTCGCTTTCATCTGACTCCGGTGTAGGGTGAGCATGCTTACGAGTTATAAATCAACATCACAGTTTGTGCAATGTAGGGTTGTTTAAAGATAACAATATGTGGGAATGAAAATAATAGTATCTTTTATACGTTGGACCTTCAACAGGTTAGTTGTGAAAATCCCGTTTCACACAAGAAAGACGAACTCTAGATGGGTTAAAACTAACCAAAGAATCAATGTTAAAATTTAGGACTTTTTTTAACTGCCTCCTTCTGCGAGCTGCTGCACCTAACGTACGCAGGGACGAGCGAACTATCACGTTTACGTGAGTGTTTTGTACAACGAAGAGGCCCTATTGTTGACACAAATGTACTCCTGCTTATTTGAAAAATAACTTTCGAATCTAATACTGAGCTCTATATTTCGTAATTGAAAGACTTTGATAAAGGAGGGTTTGATTAACCACGTTGAAAGACCTACTGATGTCGAATCGAAAAAGCATCTAGTTGAACTGGGTCAAAGAATACTCGAGATGTTGTTCATATAAAAGTTGCTAAATTTATAGCCATCCAGCTGCAGGGCATAAAGTCATATTGATTAGAGATTCTTAGATTTTTAAAGTTGGAAAACAGGAATTTGTGCTAAACCATTTCAAAAAGTTTCAAAAAGGAAGAGAAGATACATTGGTATATAATTAAGTACATCTCTAGTGTTGCCTGACCTCAAGACCGGAGCAACCACCGGTATTTCTCATATCTCCAAGAAGATTCTTGTCCTCAATGAGTTGTTAAAACTAGAGCATACTATAGGCGCCAATATTTCAGAATATCTAGGAATTGCAGAATGCATTACTATGCGATCTGTAGATCATATGGGTCGCAACACTTTCATGCAAAGCTTGAAACACTCCTGAACGACATAAACGGAACTTACTAGGTCACTAAAGCCATACAAGTGAGGCAACGCGGTTGACGTGTGGTTGATATCTTTTTTTCTTTTTTTGCATATCTAAAATGATACGCGATCAACTCAGGCTCACCATTGCTTCCTCGATAATTAAGGCATGTTTCAAGCTAATATATTTTCCAAGTCGCGATATAGCGTATTTCGAGAATTTCTCTGGAATATTGACGAGATCCGTTTCTCCCGAATCATAGTGTACTTGGCGATGACGCTTTCTGGATATTCTTACATGGCTTTCAACAGCTTTTACAGGCTATCAATTTAATCGCCAATCAATGGGAAACTGCTCCTTCTTGTCTAAGAGGTTGTTTTTTTTTTTCAATAGTGTTTAGCTCGCGAGAAATACAGTTAGCGAAGTTTAAATATTTGCTTTTTTTAGTTAATATGTCTCCATCATTTCCAGTTTAATCCTAGTGAAAAAAAATGACTTGGTTGTTTACATCAAGGGATTCCAAGGTAGATTTCTAATCAATACGGTTTTATGATGTGTATGTATATATATATATATATATATATATATATATCCTGAAGTCGACTCCAGCAGAAATAATTATACCAGGAGTGTGGCGAAAAGACATAAAACTTGACGACTGAGTAATTATAAACAAAAAGCAATACATCAAGAGCGTCAAGATATACATCCAATGAAAGCATACGAAGTTCGTCTAGAGTCACGTGTAAACAATCGAGATTTGAGAAGCATTTATTTAATGAAATAAATTGGTTATTAGGAACACTGACTGTGCTCTCTAATATCTAAAAGTAAATCAAAGTTTTGGATGTTGCGACACTTCTATTTACAATGAAATGCGGCAAGAACATTGAGGTGTGGCCATTTGATAGCTCTAGTATTAAGATCTCTCGTGAACACAGCCTATATCCCTGTAACTAGTTTGTTGTGTTCTCTATTCCAACAAGACGCCGGCAAAAATCACTTAATTTCTTTTTTTTCTTTTTTTGAAAATGCTAAAACAAACCGATGGGATACCTGAAAAAAGAGTTAGGGCACAGGTGAGCTGGGGAATATTAAGCAACAGGATAAAACCGGCGACACGGAAAACAAGGACACACAAAACACCGTCTCGCACACAGCTAAAAAGTTTTATTCAGAACACCCTTCCTTTATAGCAAACCAACCTCAGCCGACGCCGAAATGGAAAAACAGCAAATACTAGTATTAGCAAAATGGGGGCGACCCATCGCCGATATCTAATCAATTACAGAATACAAAATTAACCACAAAAAATGTATCCAGAGCAACCGAAGAATCGCTAACACAATTCCCTGCTGACGTAATCCTAATCGTTTCCTTCAAAACTTGTTTAGCGGATCCAATTTTCTGAAAACTACCTCTTCCAATTTCCACTAGGGATCGCACTTGTTACAATCATCAAGATGCTTGACTATTTCGAAGTTGGACGACCTTGATAGCACTGTCCTTTCGTGCTCTAGGAGCCTTTCATTAACACAACGGCCGGTCTGACCAACATGAGAAAAGCCAGACGTCATAAGACGACACCTTTTTTGCACGGCATGGCCGGATTTCTGTGCTTTTTGCCACACTCTTCATGTACTCCTAAGAAGAGAGGCAACAGGCTCAGGCGAAAGTCGTTTTTGAAAACTACTCTAACACCAAACCGCGCTGTCAAACATTTCAAAATGTGAGAAATGGCGTGAAAAACTCAAGGCACACCCACTTCTCTGATTTTTTTTTCTTTTTTCTTCTCTTTCTATTCCAAGGTCATTCAAAAGTTTCCTTGCGACACTCAAAATGAGGCCTGGTTGATAACCTGACCGAACCAACAGCAAGAACTGGACCGAAAGGGTGTTTACCAAAAAAATGACCATAAGACTTTTGCATGGCATTTCGTAGGAGGGGTGACACAGCACCCTTCTTGACAGTCTTTGGGTGGCTACTTCGTGATTGGCTGCGTAGGTTGTAATGGACTAAATATCGCCAATGGGTGGTCCCACTTTTGCTTATACTAGCATTTACTGTGTTTTCACATCCGCGTCGGCTCAGGTTTGTTCGCTATAAAGGAGGGGTGTTGTGAATAAAACTTTTTAGCTTTGTCTGAGACGGCGTTCTGTCTGTCCTTTTTATTTTTTGTGTCTCCGGTTTTACCATGTTGCTCGATGGGGTACCCTTATCTCCTTGAACACTACATTTCTACCCATAAACTCTTCGGGAACATATCTAAATTTTCACGCTTCCGTAAACTACAGCGTCCCTCAAAAGCGACTAATACGCTGCCCTATCCCCTACCAGTTCGAGCTAGAGCAAGCGTGCTATTTAGTTTTCTGCATTTTTTCGCCTTTTATCTTTGATTTGACTAACTGCGGGACATTTCATTTTCGGGTGCAGTCCGGAAAACAAGTCAACATCCGAACCCATGGCGGCCGTCCCTCTCGGCGTCGATCCTCAGAAGTTGCCAGCGTACGTGTTAGCCGCGATAAAGCTCGCGCTTGCTATTGCCATGTCCGTGGCCAAGGTCAAGCTGCCTATCTGCGAAAAACTGGAAAAGGCAAGTAGCTTTCATTTACAAACGTATCGTTGTCAACTGAATCAAAGATCTATCGGTCTATGAAGAAATCAAGCGCGTCTTTTATGACGCGCCAGATGTGTCGACATGACGACATCAATTTTCGCCATTTCTTGAAAAAATTGCTAATGACGACTGACGAAGACGCGACTTAACCAAATTTAACCTCAATAGAACGGCATTATGCAAAAACTGGCCGCGACCTTTAACTTTAAAGACCTGCAAAACATAAAATGCAGTATTTAAGAAGCGATCAATTAAATTAATTTAGAGGACTCTATACAGTCTTGTATAGGATATAGGTCACGTGACAATAATATATATATATA